TATTTTATAATCGGATTTTTTTTTATAATCGAGCGGTTCGGGCAGTTTGAAAGTAAAACCACAAACCAAACCAATTATATCAGTTTTAAATTTTTATAATCCAAACCAACCCAATTTTATATCAGTTTGGTTTGGTTTTTAATCGGATTGGATCAGTTTAGGTCGGATCAATCGGATTGGATCAGATATGAACACTCCTAGTTTAAGCCATTGAAGAGTACTTGCACAATATGAAATGGAACAAGAACTCCTTTATTTTCTTCTCTGTTGTTGTGGACAACAGTTTGGCTTCTATTCATTTGGTAAAGTAATTCACAACAACAACGAGGTGTGTGCAACCTCCTTTGCCTTTGACAAAAGGGCTAAGTAGATCAATTCCCCGTTGAGCAAAAGGCCATGGTGATGAAAGGGAAGATAACATTTCTCATGTGTCAAAGGAGATATTCATGTTTAGCTTAGAGACAAACGTGAAGTTTGTGCGAATTTTAGAATAAGCTCAAGTACTTGGCATGTGAATGTTGTCAGTATTGAACTGGCAGATTGGGCATTTTTTGACATAACTTTGTGCATCCTTAACCATAGTAGGCCAATAGTACCCATGTCTTAGGATTTTCTGGGCTAAGGTTTTTCCCCCTATGTGTGTGCCACGCACTCCTTCATGAACCTCTCTTACTGCGTATTCAGCTTCATAAGGAGTGAGGCAACGTAGCAGGGGCATTGAAGCTGCTCGTTTATATAACTAATCATCAACCAAGGTGAAATGTGCTGCCTTGCGCCTGATTAATTGAGCATCAGATGGATCCTTAGGCAATTTACCATTTCACAAGTAATTAAGCAAGGGTGTGGTCCAACTCGATGATGAGGGATCTATACTTAATACTTGGCACTCAACTGTTAGGTCGGTATAGCTCGGTGCATCAAGTATCTCAACGAATGTTGTCCTCTAAGGATTGATATCTTGTGATGAAACTAACTTCGATAACTCATCAACTCATTGATTATCTGCCCTTGATATCTTGTTAATCTGAAATGAGACAAAGCCTAATTTCAACTTGTTGACCATTGAGGCGTAACGACCAAGTTGAGGGTCTTTGATATCATACCTTCCATTCACTTGGTTCACTACGAGTTAAGAGTCATTAAAGACTCTTATGCTCTGCACTTTCAACTTGGACTCTAACTTCAGACTGTAAATGAGTGCTTCATATTCAGCAGCATTATTCATTATCTGAAATTTGAATCTCAATGCATGCTCGGATTTAAAACCATCTGGGCCTATTAACACTACCCTTACCCTTGATCTTTCAACATTTGCAGCTCCATCTACATACAAGGCCCATACTGGGTATGATAGTGTGGTTTCTTCTACAGCCACCAGGTGGCATTCCATTAGGAAATTTGCCAAGGGTTTGCCCTTAATGGTTGTGCATGGTTGAAATTTGAGGTCGTATTCACTTAGCTCGACCGCACATCCAATTAGCTGACTAGAAAGTTCTAGCTTCTACAATATCTTCCTCAGTAGTATGTCAGTGTAGACAACAATCTCATAAGATTGGAAGTATGCCCTTAGTTTTCGAGCAGTGCAGACGAGTGCAAAAGTAGCTTTTTCAACAATCGGATAATTCTGTTATGCACCCTATAAGACTTTGCTTGAATAATATATGAGTTTCTGATGTTTATCTTACTCCCTTAACAGAAATGAGCTAATTGCCTCATCTGTGATCCCTAGATACAAGTACAACTTCTTTCCTTCAATAGGCTTAGAGAGCAAGGGTGGTGATGCCAGGTATTGTTTGAGTTCGTCGAAATCCCACTGGCATTCATCAGTCCATTGGAAGTTTTTGGGCTCTCTCAAAGCTTTGAAAAATGGGAGGCATTTCTCAGTCGACTTGGCAATAAATCTGTATAAGGCACCTAGGCAATCTGTTAGACGTTGAACATCTTTGACTGATTTAGGAGGTTCCATTTGCTGCATGACCTGAACCTTGTCTGGATTTACCTCAATTCCTTTCTTGGACACCACATAGCCTAGAAATTTTCCTGATTTTACAACAAACATGCATTTAAGGGGGTTCAACTTCATCTGTGCTCGGCGTAGGTTTTGAAATGTTTTGTTGAGGTCGTCGATATGGTCTTCAGCTCGTACACTAGTGACAATCATATCATCAACATAAAATTCGATATTTCTACTAATCTGAAGTTTAAATACTACCTAAACTAACTTCTGATATGTTGCGCCAGCATTCTTCAGGCCAAACGGCATCATGACATAACAGTAGATGGCGTCCCCCCAATAAAATGCCATCTTCTTTTGATCGTCCAACCAGAGCTGAACTTGGTGATATCCCAAGTTGGCATCTAAAAAGCTTATGCGTTCATGACCTACTACTCGCTCTACCAACTTTTCCACATTGGGCAGGGGGTGTGGGCTTTTAGGACATGCTTCATTCAAGTTCGTGAAATCAATGCACATTCTCCATTTACTGTTGGGTTTCTTAATGAGCATAGGATTGGACACCCATTATGAATAGTCAACCCGCCTGATAAAACCTGTCTGTAATAACTTTTGTATCTCTTCATTTATAGCAGCTTGCTTCTCATGGCCAAAAAGGCAGTGTTTTTGAACCACTAGCTTCCTGGTGGGGTCCGTACTGGACTTATGGACTGTAAATTTTGTCAGAATTCCAAGCATTTCATCTGTTGTCCATGCAAAAACATCTTGGTTGGCCTTCAAAAATTCCAGGAGCTCTATCCTTTCTTCCTTTGTGAGCTTAGTTCCAATTTTCACAATTTTTTCTAGTTCATCGAGGTTTAAAGGAATTGTCTCTACTAGCTCTACTAGCTCAGCCTTCTACGCCACGTTCTCAGGTCGGTGATCTAGGTCTGAAATGCTCATCGTCTGTTGACCTGGTTGACGTGGCCTGGAAACCTCTAAAGCAGAGGCCTTGGGTGCCGTTGCGAGCTCGACCTTTTTAAATATGTCATGATAGCAGGTTCTATCCACTTTCTTGTTCCTTTTGAGCACTCCTACCCCCTGAGGAGTTGGGAACTTCATACAAAGTTGTGGTTGAGATATGACAGCCTTCAATTCGCAGAGTGTAGCTTTTCCAATTATAGCATTGAAAGCTGATTCTATCTTAACCACCAAAAAGTTCACTGATGCCATCTTAAACCATGGTTCAGCACCCACGTAGATGGGAAGGGTGATTATTCCCTCAACAAGGACAGGCTGATAGTCGAATCCGTAGATTGGCCCTTCATATTTCTTCAACGAAGTTGGGTTCAATTGCATTTTTTGAGAGCAGCCCCAATACATAATATCTGGAGAACTGCCTGTGTTAATGAAGACTTTGTTGACATTATGATTGCCTATGTGGACTGTTGCCACAAAGGGATTAGCATGGGGCATCATAATGTCGGGCTCTCCATCCGATCGTTTATAGTCAGCAAGATTGAACGTGATGGGTGCATTTTCCCATTCTACTTCCTCAAATGGTCATTTAAGGAGCCTATTCTTGTTCACCCTAATCACTTGGCAAGCATAGGCTTTACAACCTCGGGCACTCTGGTCCCCTGAATGCATGACACCGAAAATCATGTTTATCGTGCCTGAGGGTGGTGGTATTTCGGTATAACCTACCCCCTTTTTATCTTTTTGATACTAAGCTGTGGTTCTCTGTCCTTGTCCTCGTCTATTGAACTGACATCCTCTGTATGCTCTACTAGGTTCGAAAGAGTATTGATTCTCTTGGTATGGATTCTAATTATTGTCGAGCTGGTACCCTTGTCTTTGAGGTCGGTTGTAATCTTGCACAAAATGAGTCTAACTGGGCTGTTGGGTGTAAGGTTTCTGGACATATCCTTCCAGTTTTCCATTGCGAGCTAAGAATTCCAGCTCATCCTTTAAACTCTGACAATCATTTGTATTATGGTCGTACCCACGATGATAGTCACAATACTTGCTTCTGTCTGGTCATGGGGAATCATGTAATGGAGGATGTGGTCTCTTGACCCAGTGCTGGATCTCTGCCAAGATTTGAGACCTCGATGAGCTCAGAGGAATGTAGTTGGCATATTTTGGGAAGGAAGGCGGCTTTCCTCTCTACTCGATAATTTTCTAATTTTTCTTCTCTTCTCTTCTCTTCCTTCTGGTTGTTTGTGCTATTTATTTTGCTTATCGTCAGCTCGTTGCTTGGACGACTAAAAATCTTCTGACAATATGAAGTTCGCCGATATGTTATTCACCTCATTCCATGACTTTGGTGGATTTTCCAACAGGTCGTCTAAGAACCGACCAGGCTTGAGGCCATGTAGCAAAATGGACAAGCAGATGGTGTTAGGGACATTATCAATGTCCAATGTGGCTTTGTTAAATCGCTACATGTAATCCCTTAAGGATTCTCCCTCTTTCTTATGAACCTACATCAACTCAGTAGCCGTGCATTTTATTTCCCTTTGGCTCACAAACTTGTTTGAGAATAAAGTGGCGAGCTGGGTGTAGGAAGCTATGGAATGTCTAGGAAGCTTGTGATATCACCTTCTGACGGTCGACTTCAAGGTCGCAGGAAATACTTTGCACATCATAGCATCGGTAGCATTCTGAATTTTCATAATGACCTGATAAGTATGCAGGTGTTCGTTCAAGTCACCAGAGCCATCGTATGTCTCTAAGTGAGGAATCTTGAACCCCTCTTGATATGGTTCTGCTGCAATGGATAGGTTGAGAGGGGCGCTATCCAAATCCAAGGCTTGTTAGCACGACCTCGAACTTCTCAGCGCGTCAATAGATCTTTGCACATCCTTGAGTTGTCTTTTGAGGTCGGCATTCTTCTTCATCAACTCCTTGTTGTGTTTTGATAAGGTGGGCTTTGGGTTTGATTTCCCACTTCCCCTCGGCCTGGTCGGCACGACTATGTTGCTTAAGGCTAAGGAATTACGAGTTGCCATTTCTGCAGGCTGTTCACCCCTATTCAATAGGGGAATCAAGGGGTCATCAGGGATTAGACAAGAAAGTATTCTTTCCATGGCCTTTTCTAGGACCCTGGTTTGTTCTTGTAGCTCGGACGTCTGAGCAGATTCCACAGGTCCACTACATCGTGAGGTACTATGCAAGGGATGTCTCTGCCTTGTTTCTGTTAGAATTTGAAACTGTTCGGGCTGGGTTGCATACCTAGTTGGCATTCTTTGATCATTTGATCCACTCAAGTGTTCTTTTTCTACTCTTCTAACAAAAAGGTTCCTCGGCATTGGCCGAAAGTCATTTAGGTCACTCTCCAAAAGCTGAGTATTATCTTGTTCGTCCATGTCATCTCTTAGAGGGCGATTCCCTGTAAAGGTGCGTACCATTTTTAGCTCAAGCTAGTTAAACTACATCACTTTTTATTCAGTTTCCCACAGACGGTGCCAAATGTTTGGGCAACTTCACGAACCTACATTGTAGAACTTACACAATAGAAATCTTCAACTACTTCAACACCTGAAAATCCCAAGGATGTTTCCTCGAGGAAAACACTTCGATGCTCAAGTTAGCAATACTCAATATACTAGAGAGAGAAGCTCTCAAGAGTAATTGCAGAGAGAGAAGCGTAGTGGAGTTAATACCTTGAGTGGAGGTAGTTTGGGGTATTTATAGCCCCCAAGTCCTGACACAAGACTACACATGTAAACTTTTGATTAGCCCATGTGCATGCGCCCACCTGGGTATATCTGTACTAGTATATGGATGTCTCTTCATCTTGGGCCTATGGATAAATGACTATGAGTGTTATGCATGGCCCAGGTTGAATGTTGGGCCCATTCCCAACACCAAGTAACTAGCCAATTCATAATTAATTGTTCATTATTGGAATAAGGAATGCTCAGAAAACTTACATTTAGAGTTGCAACCGATGTTCCAAATTTTTGAACTTTGCTTACCCCTTTCATCAAATCAGTTGCAACATCGATGTAATGTAGACGATCAACTTCATGGTGATCAAAAATATATATTGGCTTCAATATGGTTGCTAGTTAACAAAGGGAAGCTAGACATTTGAATTTGGAAGCATGATCCCTGGGGAGTCTGTTCTACATAATCTGCTTATCCTTTGCTAACTAAGGACTATAATCTGCCCGCGCCTAAGGTGTTTAAAAAATGTTGGAATAAGTATGTTCCTGCAAAGGTTTGCACTAGGAATTGGTTGCTTACTAAAGACAGGATGCCTGTGAGATTTAATCTTGCCAAAAGGGGCATTATTGAATGGGATCAAGCAAAGTGTGGATTATGGAATGATCCCATAGAGGATTCTGGCCATCATTTCCTCAGGTGCGAGATAGCTTATTCTTTATGGTTAAGGTGTTATGGTTGGTGGAAAAGAAGTTATGTACTATATAACAAGTGCAGTGATGCCTTTCTTCAACACTCTCTACCAACCAAAGTAAAACATGCAACAGATGTTTGGGAAATTATTTGGTTTGCTACCACTTAGACACTATGGTTGGTAAGAAATGACAAAGTCATCAACAACAAAGAGGTGAATGTTGATTCTTGGTTCCATCTCGTGCAACTAAGGTCTTATCATTGAATCAAAGGGAAACAAATGTGTTCGGAGCTTTCTTTTGATCACTTGTTGGATTTTTGGTGGTAAGAAAGGGGGGATTTGAGGGAGGACTTGGAGGAGAAGGAGAGACACCTAGAGTTCCTTCTTTTGGTGAGGTCACAACCCATATTCTTCCATTGATATTCTGCTATTTATAGCAGAAACAACACAACATGACATAAAACATCAAGCCATAAACATGGAAGGGTGCATACATTCACCCAATCGGAGAGGAGAAACCATGCTTTCTCTTTCTCTCAATTTTCATCAATTTCTTCCTACCTTTTTATGGAGGAAGGCTACACATAAAATAATAATATTTATCTACCTAAACTATAATTATTAACTACCTAAAACATTGACTAAAATGATGAAGTTTACTTCCATTTCTTGTAGCCCATGTGAAGCTCAATGTTGTTGTCACTTTACTACTACTGTGCAGTCATGTTGCACCATCATTTGACAGATCTCATTTCATTGCATTTCAGCTTTCATGCCATAGCTCCAACATCACTGGAGCAGCAACCCTTGGCGTGTTTGATGATTTAATTGGAGATAGGCAGATTGTAGGCCAATAGTTGGGTGAAGATTCTTGTGAGTGTCATGCTTGTTGGCTGGAAACTAGTACAATGATTGTAACTTTCTTCTTTTGCGTACTGCTGGTACTCTCATAAATAAAATGTCTTTTTTTCTGTGCAAGAAAGAAATAAAAAAAATAAAAAGGGGAGATTGCACATTTACAAAAGTATGAGTTTACATCACGTACATTGTATTCCAAGTATACAAGATTTGGGGCATTAATTGTGATATCAAAACTTATACACCGTCCTTCCTAGCACATGCAATCTAAGGAGTGACTCTTTAGTGTAGGATGAGAAACAAATAATTTGCAATTCTCATCTTAAAACATATAGAACAAACGCTCAAGAAAAGGACAGTTAGAAAGTAGGGTTTTAATGGAATTATCATCGAAAAATGGAAAAAAATCAAGATGAAGCTCCTTTAGGCTTGGGAGACAAACTTTAGTAGGGATTTCAAAAACAGAACCTAAGACCACAATAACCAGCTTTCGAATCACCTATGTCTTACTAGTAAATAAACTAGTTAGACACAGCTAGTTAGCATTAGAAAATAATCTAAGCTCTATCACTCGAATACCATACAATGTTAGTTCGCATATCCAACTTTCAATGCACTAAAGGTCAAGAGGTTGTGACTCTAAGCCACCGCAATAAAATCTATTTATAGGACATCCGTTGCAGGAAAATAATACGCTATCCACATCATCAATGACATCAATCAGATCCGCTATACTTTCTTCAAAATTAAGGAAATCTCCAAAATCAAATACGAGATTTGAACTTGAAGTGTAGATATACGTCCCAAGCGAGTCAATACCGTATCGGTTTGTTACTAGAACGGTACGTACCGGATACTGAAATTTTTCGTGTACTGTTTCGGATTTATCGCTATAAATATATATTT